TTCATGCTTAAAGCGTGAGCTGTTCCTCAGCTCGTATATAAGTAGGCTGTAATTGATTTCATTTGTCAATTGAATTAGTTTAATCAATTGGAGCTTATTCTCGCCTTTCTTTTCCTCTCTCTCAATTCTCTGCAACTTATCAAAATCCTAAATTCCTTCAGCTGGAAGATGTTTTCTTGTATGGAAAATACAGCATCCATGTGTTTGCGATATTTGAATCAATATGCTAATATGAACAGGGAAAATGATGATGATTTTGGAGGTGATAAAAAGGCACTAGAGAAGCATTCTCATGGTGAGGTTTCATTTGCCGTGGTCCAGGCAAATGAAGACCTTGAAGATCACAGCCAGGTAGAGACCAGTTGACACGCCACCTTTGTTGGGGTTTTTGATGGCCATGGTAGTCCAGACGCGTGGAGATTCATCCGTGACTGAGATGACCTCTTACCTCGTCTAATTAGCGAGGTTTTTTTGCCTTTTTGCACTTTTTTTGTGACTTTATTCTAGTAAAATATAAATGTTTGTTGCGCTCTAGTGATGCTTATAAATATTTCAGTTTTCTTATTTGAAAACTATACTTAAATAAACAAACATGTCCCCTCTTTAACAGCTTAAGCTTTTAGATGAAATCGCAAAGGTCTTAGGTTCCAAAAGTCTCACGCGAAAATGTTAAACATTTGATAAAATATAAATCCAACCTGCACATGTACGGACGTGTTGAAGATTAAATTTAACTAATTAAATGTCTTCTATCTAGTATCCTAAGATTTCAGAAGAGATCATTCAACAAGGCCTCTTATAGAGATCAATTATCTATTGACATGATATCATTTTGTTCTTTTACCATACTTTCTAGAGAAAAGGGGTCAATATCTGAAAAAGTTCCTAAGAACCCGAAGGGGACGTTCAAGCAGCATTGGGCAGATTTACCGAGTGGACTGCTGGGAATCAGTTTTGCATAGCCAAGGCGTTTGATCTCTTCAGGCCCAAAGAGAGTAAGAAGACATGGGCTAGAGATGTTTGGAGGTCATGCATAACTCCGAAACATTAGTTCATCTTGTGGTTAGGTGCCCAATCAAAGCTCCTAAACAAGGACAGGCTGCTGCACTCTGATATTGATAGAAATTGTGTCCTTTGCGGTTCACAGGAGGAAACAGTCCAGCACATTTTCTTTCAGTGTTTATTTAGTTCCAGCATATATCACCTTTGGACAGCTAGAAAAATGCTGATTTTTTGACTCAGAACGGAAGTTCTAGAGTTTACCAGCGTAATCCCCAACAAAGAAAATTATAGATCTCAAGAAACTAACCTTAAAAAAGGGAATTGTATTATTGAGAAAAACAAAGAGCCTTTAAATAGTCTCTGCAAACCCTAATTTAAACAAAAAGACCAAAATAGACATCCACTTAATTAAAACA